CATACAATCTGTACAACTCTGTGATTCTAAGTTGCATGACTAGCAACGACAGCAGCAGATTTATCAGACCCCAGTTCTAGACTCACTTGAATGGCAAAGCAGCCTGAGTCCCCTTTTTGGACTATGTCTTTTGGACTGTAGAAGCTTGCAGGGATCTGGCAAGCTCTGGGAAGAGGGGAAGGCTCTAGAAGGAGTGACACTAAGACTTTATGCAAAGAAGGCAGTAGGCCCTTGAGCAATTAATTGAACATAAAAGAAGCCTAGCCATAGTTATCCCAGAATTATGGAGTTGTTCCTACAAGTTATACTACTTCCACTCTGAGTCCCTGCTCACTGTGTGCTGTTCTGATTTTCATGTCTTCTGTGTAGGTAGATACTAGGGATTCTCCTGGTCAGGCACGAATTGATTTTTATTTATGTTTCTCATTGCATATTATCAAGAGGACTTATGGTTCATACTTGTGAACCTGGACAATGTAAGTCAGCCTTCCAGCATTGGACCAGTTCTGGTGCAGTGGCCAAATAGCAGATGGAAACCAGTTTATAACCTGGCCAGATGGTAGTAAATAGTGTTAAATTCAGGCTCAGAGAGCAAGAGTGCCCTGTTGAAAGAGCAATGTTTGCCATGACTGCAGAAGTGAGAAGTAGGTTCCTGCCACGCCTTTGCCAACCCTGGCTCACATCAAATTTCTGCAAATGCCTGCTCTGTCCTGCCCTCTTTTTTCGTAGGTCATATGACCATTCTCTTGCACTTTCCTCACACACTATTGCTTAAAGCTAACAAGAAGCTCTGTTGGGGCAGAGTTCCCATGTATGTCTTTCCCATCATCATATCCCTACCACTTAGCATAGCACCTGCCCTCAGGAAGGCTTTAATAAAAATCTGTGATTAACTGTCCCAGTTTGCCAGAACTATGGGGTTTCATGTATGTGTAACTTTCTGTGCTAAAACTGAAACAATCATGAGCAAACTGGGATAGTTGGCCACCCTAAGATTCAAAATAGTTACGATTTAAATGGCAGGTGGGATGGAGGCAAAATGTGTGGATTCTTTTTCTGAGAGACTCAACTCTAAAGAGAAGACAGAGTATTGTCTAGAAAAGGAGACAGAATTGAGAGTTTTTTCACTTCTTTATTCCCTCTCTTTCTTGTTTTAAACCATGCTAAAGGCTTACTTCTAGAATGAGAGGAAGAAGTGAGAAGGAGGCTGGAGATATAGAGACAGGATAATTGATGGAGCAGCATCTGCTCCTCATGAAGTGCTGGGGTTGGCGGAGGTGGGGAGTCAGGAGATGGGAGTTAGGGGGCGGGTTGCTGAGCCTTGAGGGCAGGAGAAGGCCCTGACTCCTGGAGAGAAAAATTCACATGCGAAAGTGGGGCTGGGAAGTGGAGGGTAATCATAACATATGTTCTCCATCATGTCAGGACATGGAGTGAAGAGAGGGGAAGGATGGAGCCTTAGAGATGAGCAAAGGCTTAGAACAGCCAGAGGATGCAAGAAGACACTGAAACACATCCCAGGCACGAAGGAATGTCCAGATAAGATGGAGAACTATGAATACACAGCCTACAGTGTAATTTATTAACTAAGATCCCCAGACTGAACAAAGTCATACAATTACAAGCCTATTATATCATATTTTTGGTCTTGAAAAATATCTACCACTGCATTTAAAAAGAATTGTCTATGGGCAACTATGTGGCTAAACAAGAGACAAAAATATTTTCTAAAAGGCTACAGTAGAAAATGACATAGGAAAGGAAGCAACAGTACATTGAGCCCTTGGCAGGATTATTATTAAGGGGCACGACTACTGTACTGCAGTAGGTGACATGGTCAGACACACATGTGCTCGGAGGCAATGTGGAGGGAAGAGGAATCAGAGATGGGGCAATTTGAAGGCTACGAAAGGGCCAGACACACATTCTTGGCATCCTGGATAACAGGGTTGTTTGGAACCTTGACATAATGCCAAGCATTAGCTACCTGAAACTGAGAATTACTCTCCCCTTCTTGGTGGGCATTTATACATACCCTATGCCAAATTCCCACGATGGTCCATTGTGATAGTTACCCAGTTTTGCCAATGGGAAGACCGCATCTCAATACAGTTAAATAACTGGTTCGTGGCTGGTAAATTAGCAGAAAAATTGAGATGCAGCTGAATTGGTTGATTTGGACCCTCCCCTTGTCCTTCTTACTTTTCACCTATATAACAATAAGGATAATAACAATACCTAAGCACATACTTTTGTAAGAATTAAATGAGATAATGTATGTGAAAGAGCCAGGCACCCCACAGATGCTGCTTATTTATTTGTCTAGCATAGTGGTTTTCGACTGGCAGCAATTTTGCCCTCTAGGGGACGTGTGATAATGGAGATATTTTAGATTGTCACAACTAGATGAAAGCTATTGGTATCTAGTAGGTAGAGGTTAAGGATGCTGCTAAACATTTTGCTAAGCACAGGACAGCCCCGCACAGCAATAAATTATTCCTCCCAAATGTCAATAGTGGTAAGATTGAGAAACCTGAGAGTAGCATAATGCAGGGGACCAGGAACCATATGTACTAACAAAACACAGCAGAGCCTTGAAAGTAACAGGCAGTTCCTGCTATTAGGACACTTGTAGATCCGGATCTTGGATCTACACTCACTACTTGTTCTCAGCAAGTTATTTAACCTGTCTGAACCTCACTTTTCAAATGGGAATAATAACAGTACCTACCTCGTAAGATTGTTAAGAGTCTCAGCGAATTGGCACTTATCTAGGTGCTGGCACATGGAAACACACAGTATTGATTGGTGTTATCATTATTAATGAAAGGCATGGCAAGCAAGATGCTGGGAGAGAGACATCTTGTTTTACTAAACTAGGAAAGAGGGAAGAGGAAATTAAACACTGAAATACCTTTGTAAATGTCACAGGATTATAAATGTTTTCCTGCTGTGCAATTCCTATCCTGGACAGTACTCATTAAGTAGTTTCGATAAATTAAATGGTTGTTGAATAATATTCTGCTAGCACAATGGAATTAATCACTTTCCACCACTTTGAAAGAAATTTTATAGACACCAAATTTCTGGTGTCTTTTCATCGTTCACAAGACTCATTGCTACATTGTGTGGTGCTTTCTTAAGAAAAGTTTTATTCAGAAGAAAGTGACTTGGTGATAGCATTTAAAGTTGTCAGCTATGGTTTGATACCTTTCCCCCCCACCCCAAATTTCTTTCTGAAAATATTGTAGGTCTTTTGATTTGTGCGAACATTGACCTGGATTTTAAAATCTTTTGCAGTAACACTGGGGTTTTGACTTTCTCACATGTAGATAGTCTTACAATCTACCTTGGCTGACTGGAACGAAGGCAGCTCTCCTTTGCAACATAATCAAAAGGCAATATCTCCTTATATTTCCTGGGTGTTGTTCTTTTTCAGCATTTTCATCAGCAGGTCTCCAGAACTGAAGGGTTTCCCTTTTCCTCTCCAGTCTCTCACTTCCCACCCAGTCTTTCCTTCTCTGCCCCTCAACCCACCTGATGATGCTGTGTGTCCTCTCTGCCACTTCATGCCTGGCTAAAATATTTCTCTGATCTCTTTTCCCAAATCCTTCTCAGATAATAGATCAGACTCCTCTCTCCAAGGCCCCTTCAGATTCTATTCATCAAACCTGCTTCACACCCTTCACCATTCCTTCTGTAGGGACAGTGTGGGTAGAAGGAGTAAGGAAGTACAGGGAGGCAGAAATCAACAGAGAGGGGAGTGGAACAGGAGAAGAGAAGGGAGGTAGGGTGCACACCTTATAAGGGAAAGGGCAATCACCAGGCAAACAGATGGGCCAATAAAGAGCGTGAGACACAATCCTAATGGCTTCCACATGAGGAAACCATATGTGTGTGTGTGTGTGTGTGTGTGTATACAAATATGTATATATATATATGTATGTGTATATGTGTGTGTGTGTGCGCGTGTATGCAGAACCAATCAAGGACTACAGCTCCCTCAAGGCATTTTATGTATTTTCCCTCTGAGCTGCCCAAAAAGCTGTGAGTAAATGAGAAGTGGACAAATATTGTCCTCCTCACTCTCTCCAACAAGGAAACTTAGATGCAAAAAGGTTACAACTTGCCCTGTCTCCTCCACCCAAAGTGGCCCAAGAATGACATAAGGAGAGAAATGGACCCCCAGGTTTCCCAAACTTAAGCTTCCTATAGAGTTGCAAGAAAAGCTGACAGGAAAAAAAAAAATCTATCAGAGAAAGCAATGAGAGGCCAGAGAAATAAAGAGAAGGAAAGTAAGCAATGGCACTGATGAGAGTAGAAAGGGACAGAAAAAGGTTAAAGAGATGGAAGAAGGGAGCAGAAAACACTTAAGCAGAAGAGTAAGAGAGAAGAGACTCACACCAAAGGACCAACACACTGGAAGTCAGCGTTGGACCACTGGCCTCATGTCCTCTATAAAACACTCTCCCCTAACAAGGCAAAGAGACCACGCGGGAAGCCGTCCTCTAAAAAACACCCGAGTCAATAATAACATACCTCCATTCCAATCTTTTCAATGTAGGCTTCCATTCATGATTTGCTCAAAGGGAAAGGAAGTGGAGAGGTCAGGGCACTGTTCGGAAGGGGCAGTTACACTAAATACACTGATCTTTTGCTGAAAAGTTGGAGAGGGGACAGGTGGCTAAAGAAGCCACCTCTTGACCCTTCTGCAATCCCCACCCCATTACCCCAACCTCGTCTTGGTTCTTGGCTCCTTGACTCGTCTGTTCCAATAAGAACCTACGAACGGCTTTTTTTCCTTTTTTTTAAACACCTGAGGCTGCGATTAAAACAACCCCAACTCCTCATTTCTTTTTCTTAAGTTTATTTTATTAATTGAATTTTTAAATCCCGCTTCATCTCCACGTGCATTTTCCAATCACTCTTTAGGCTTAGGAGGGGTCGGGAGAGGTGGGACTCCCCACCGTAGTCTCTAATGGAAGGGAAAGTCCCTCGAGTCAGTCCCGGTGTGCCCCCTCCTCTCCCGGAGCCCCTTCCCAAACCCCGTCGGGTCTCCAAAGGCTAGAGAAAGCTGTGCGGCCGTAGCCCGCGCTGTAATCGTAAGACACCTGGTGGGGCGGCGGGGACAGGGCGCAGTCTGAGAAGAAGGGGGCGAAAGAGGCCAAAAGGCCGGTCCCGTCCTCCCCTCCCGGAGAGTCCGCGGCGGCGGGGTACAAGGAGCGCAAGGGCTCGTTCAAGGTCGAGGCGCCGCGGGGGACAGCCAGGTTCAGCTTCTTGGTCGGGGGACAGCCCGGGGCGCTCCAGGGTTCGGGGTACAGTAGGCTCCCCACCATCGCCGGCGGAGGCTCAAAAAGGCCAGGTTCCAGCTCCTGGGGTCCCCGCAGGACGGCGGCTCCAGTGGGAAACACATCGAGAGGCTCGGCGGCGAGTAAGACGCCGGTCTCTGTGCTGGCGCCGTAATCCGGCCCCAGCAGCTCGAAGAACTCCACGGTGTCGGCGCCCTTCTCCAAGTCGCCCAAGCTCACGCCCGGCCCGCCGGCGGAGGCTCAAAAAGGCCAGGTTCCAGCTCCTGGGGTCCCCGCAGGACGGCGGCTCCAGTGGGAAACACATCGAGAGGCTCGGCGGCGAGTAAGACGCCGGTCTCTGTGCTGGCGCCGTAATCCGGCCCCAGCAGCTCGAAGAACTCCACGGTGTCGGCGCCCTTCTCCAAGTCGCCCAAGCTCACGCCCGGCCCCGACGCG